ATATAGATATAGATATAGATATAGATATAGATATAGATATAGATATAGATATAGGTATTGATATAGATATAGATATACATATAGATATAGATATAGATATACATATAGATATAGATATAGATATAGATATAGATATAGATATAGATATAGATATAGATATAGATATAGATATAGATACAGATACAGATACAGATATAGATATAGATATAGATATAGATATAGATATAGATATAGATATAGATATAGATATAGATATAGATATAGATATAGATATAGATATAGATATAGATATAGATATAGATATAGATATAGATATAGATATAGATATAGATATAGATATAGATACAGATACAGATACAGATACAGATACAAATATACATATAGATATAGATATAGATATAGACATAAACATATACATGGATATAGGTAAAGATAAAGATAAAGATAAGTCAATCTATCTTAAATATAAGTTCTTTGGCAGTTCTATGAAGTGCTCCGATCTGATCACCTACGACATAGATACTGCTTGCTGCAAGATGCGAATGATATAGATCTGGAATATATGAACTATCGCCTTATGTGCGTTACACATTTGGTCAGAAAATCAAAGTGCCCCGTTTAAGGGTATATTAGAACAACACAACTGAAGCAACCGCAACTACAATAAAAATGAAAAGAATACTTTATAATGCTGACCAGGCAGGAAGAGAGGGCGGCCAACTACTCGATGTTCGTGATTCATTTAGTTCCCCGGGGCATACGAGTTTTTACTCACACACATGTGTGTGCGTGTGTGTGTATGTGCGTAGCGTGCAAAATGTACCGTTTGAAATATCAAAAGTTTTGCCAGCTTTCCATTATTTTACGTATGATTTCGTATATTTACGTAAACAATTTGAAAAAGCATTGAAAATATTGTACATAATAGAAGAAAGAAACGATTAAACAGAGAAAAACCGAAAGGAACATGTGCAAAATGAATCTGATAATCACATTGATTAAATGAACACCTGAGTAAGCACTGCAACGCACTCTCAAATACAGTTGATCGCAAATACTTTGCTGAATAATACAATAATACAAAACATAATCGAAATATCTATTAACTTAACGGATTGTAAACTTTTCTTTGTAAATATCAACATGAAAAATCTATATTGATTGATATATATTGAAAGATTTGTCTCCTATGTTGATATTTACAGGAGATACACAGAAGATATATCTAAGATATATCTAGATAGATAGATAGATCTATAGATATCTACAGATAGGTTTATATTGACAAGTTCATCTCCTTTGTTGATATTTACAGGCGATATATAAAGATAGATATATCCGATAAATAGATATATGTCTGATAAATAGATATATCTGATAGATAGATAGATCCATAGATATCCAGAAGATATAGATATATAGATAGATAGATAGAAAGATGGATAGATAGATAGATTGATGGATAGATAGATAAATAGATAGATATATAGATATATCTCCTTTGTTGATATGTGCAGGAGATGTATAAATATAGATATATATAGATAGATAGATAGACAGATAGTTAGATAGATCTATAGATATCTACAGATAGATAGATTTATCTCCTGTGTTGATATTTACTGGAGATATAGATAGAAAGATAGATAGACATACATAAATAGACAGATAACAAGACATATAGATAGGTATAGGTAGATACATAGATAGATAGATATGTTATTTATATATATATATCTAACTATATATATATATCTCGCAATCTAACTTAGACAAATATCTAACCTCTTAAGTAAATAAGTAACTATTTATCTATTTATTAGACGTTTTTATTTGCGTAACATTCAAAGATCGATTATCCCTATCATTTGCTCGAATTAGTTATAAACTAATATATATATTATTATTATCATAGTTGAGCTCATCAGAAAACAAAAGTGAAGTTAATTTAAAGTCTGCTCACAAAATCAAATGAAATAAAAAACAATCAACAACAAAAAGAGACTTGACTAAAACACACCTTGAATATGGATGAGCGGGGGGTGGGCGGGGAGGGGTCGTGACACACATACATGAATAGAACAGATGCACAGGGGCCAATAGATAGATAGATAGATAGATAGATAGATGATCTGGCTAAATGTTAAATGGATATTTGTGTTATGCTTAGAATAATAAATAGTTGCGACGTGTGTGTGTGTGTGTGTGTGTGTGTGTAGGGAATAAAAGCATGGCGCAGGAAAGAAACAATGCAGTATCGAGTATATATAGTATCGAGTATCGAGTATCGAGCAGAGCAGACCAGACCAGACTCGGCCGGGTCGATGAGTTAATATAAACAAAAGTCCGCGCATGAAACCGGCTAAAGAGACGGGCCGCTTCTTACCTGGCGAGAACCTGTGGTAAAATGGCCCAAAGCAAAAGCACGGAAAATATAGTCAAAAGAAAAATCATCAGATTTAAACTGAAATACTAAAATGAACTTAATACATGTTGCTGCTGCTTTTGTTGTTGTTGGTATTTCTCTTTTTTTTCTGTTGCTTTTCTTTTTTGCAATTGTGTGGAAAATTGAAAATCAAATGAACGCGCGGCGCATAGAAGAAGAAAATCATAGTGGGAATGCGGACAGCAGGCGAAGGGGAGAAGGTAGAGGGGCAGGGGCAGGGGGAATAGTTCGAGTCTCGGTACGAACCGAGCCCAAGCAAAAACAACAATATAAACTATAAAAAGCAACACAAAAATATCGAAGCACAAGTACACTTAACTAAAGGCCAAAAAGATAGACAAAGACAATGAGCGAGAGAGAGGGAGAGAGAGAGAACGAGAGAGACAAAGAGAGAGCGAGCGAGTGGGCAAGACAAAGCTTGCGGGCCACAGAGCAGGGGGCAGGAAGGGGGCGACGAGGAGGTGGGCCTTACATTGTAAAAGAGAGAAAATAAAAAGCAAGCAAAACGAAAGTGTTCGCTCAATACATGTGTGTGTGTGAGAGTATGTGTGTGTGTGTGTGTGTGTTATGCTATGTTCTATTATGTATGTATGTATGTATGTATGTATGTATGTATGTATGTATGTGTATGTTTGTGCTATGGCAAAAACCCAGCAGAACTTTTGGGCTATATTATTTTTCAGAAAAAAAAAGGAATACAAATTTCTTATGGAAAACTCGCGATTCGTGTACATAATACTAAAACAATATGTTTCTCATTAGCGCTGAGAATGTCCATAAAAAAACAAAAACAATATCAAGAAATTAAGGTAATACACGGCACGCCGAAGATATAATACCCTAACTGGGCTGCTGATGCTGATCAAGAATATATATAGTATATGTCTCTCCTCTTATAATAAAAATGGGCAAAAGAATCAATAAAAATATTACAAATTTGAGTACTATAATGAAATAATGTTATGAAAATATGAAAAAAATGAAACTAGAAAAGGCTTTCGACGGCAACTTTAACAAGACGAAAGTTTTATCTTTGACAATGTCAAGATACTTTCTTAGTTTGATCGAGATATCTCGAAAAACAGAAACATATTCCACACAAAAACAAATTTTTGGACCAATTCTTCCGTTAGAATCAGCTCAAGTTGATTAGATAAGATAATATATATGTTTGGAGCTTGGTAGAACTTGTACATGACAAGTTTGGTGAAGATTTCTTGAGGGATAAAAGTATATCTTATTTATAAACATAAATTTTAAAATAAAATAAAACTTAATTTCAGAATGCTTTATAATGCGCTTAGAATCTATGTTAAGTATTGCCAAGTTTGTACAGAAATTTGTTAATTTGGGACGAGTTTCTTATAAAAGAGCCTAATTTTTTATTGATGAATCCTAGGCTAATGACATATGTTAAATAATCCGATGTTACATGAAAGTTTGGTAAAATTAAAGTAAAAAGTTAAAGTTGAAAAACAATTTATATTTAATCAAGATTTAACTGACACCTGCGATGATTAGTTAGTTGATTAAACTCTGATGAGGTCCTCAAAAGCAAATAGGTTCTTAAAATAGGAGCTTAACTTAATTCAATGCCTTTTGCGACCCCTTTTTACATCAAAAACTAAGATTAAGTTCAAGTTGTGACTTCAGTTATTATCTTCGGTTATATAAGATAACCTCGTTCTTGAAACTGCCCATATATGCCTGACTATATGTATAAACTAATAAAACTTAATCGAATGCAATCTAGTAAAGTTACACTTAAAACAACTTTAAGAACTGCCCAATTATCAGTCGAAAACTGAAACATTTCTATATGGGGAATACCTTTCTTGCAGAATTGCAGCTTGGTTTCTAGAGAAATTATATAATAATCAAATATTTGAAAAAGTCGAAACAAGACGAAAAGTCTTAAATGATATAACAAATTATAAAAGGTTTAAATAGTACAATCATATTAATATATATATATATATATATATATATATATGCAAAGCGTTTGCTCCAGACATTGTAAACATTGATAAACATCAAACTTGCAAGTATATAGAAATCGCTAGTTCGATAGTTCGGACTATAAAGTCCAGGAAATCGAAAGAAAGAACTAACTAAATTTTGTAACATACAAACAATACTACGATTTTCAGTGCACTTGTCACGCTCAAGAGTTCTGCTGGGTGTCGAAAAATAACTGTTTTTGGCTTCGGCAACGGGCAATTAGGGCGTTTGCCTGGGTTTCGGACGGGGTGGGGGAGGGGGGGTTTGACCGCATACTATCAATTTTTGTACTTTCTTTTTTGCTTTTTTTGTTTTGTTTTGTTATTGTCTGCAATTTCTGTTGCAGTTATGTACACTCACACACACACACACTCTCTCTCACACACACACAGAGATAAATGATGTATCGGCACACGTATACATACATATATACGACATACAGAGAGCTTAAAGATAGGGTTCGCTTGGTTAATATTAATTGTTATTGTATTTATTATTATAATTATCGATGTTGTTGTTGTTGTTGTTGTTGTTGTTGTTGTCGAGTACTTACCAAATGATTGAGCATGAACCGCTAAAAATATCGAGAGGAATGAAAGAGCGCTAGCCAAGAATTTTGCCTCCATCTTTGGTATTGATCCGTGTTGTTGTTGTTGTGGTTGTTGTTGTTGTGGTTGTTGTTGTTGTTGTTGTTGCTGTTGTTGTTGTTGCAGTTGTCGTTTCAAATTGCTTGCATATTAAATTTGCATTAACTATTTGCTGATTGATTAATTATTTCTTTTCGTTTGCTTGTTTTTTTTTTATTATTATTTTTTATTTGTATTTTATTTTTATTTTTATTTTTTATTATTTTTGTTTTGTACTTTATGCTTAACTTACTAGATCATTATTAAGATTAATTTATGTGTAGCTTTATTTATACGATTTTCATTAATTATGCTTAACATTAATTTGATATTAGTTGATGTTGTTGTTGTTGTTGTTGGTTGTTGTTTGGTTGGTTATTTATTTATTTTATTTTTTTTGTGTTTTGTTCTAACGATTCTTATCTTTCTCTTTATTTAACCAGCTCCAGCTTTTGTTCTTATTTCTTGTCGCTAATTTTGTATGATTTGGCAATAGAAAGAAAAGTATAGAAATATTATTTCAACAAACAATTTCATATTTATTGCGCTCGCTTTGTTTCTTTGTCAATTTTAGTTTTTTTTTTCTCGTTCGTGTTTGGTTTGCTTTGATTCTTCTGCTTTTTGCACAAAATTTAAAAATACATAAATTCACAAAATTAAGCAAAGCAAAGCACATAGAAGAATGCCCGCGGCGTCTTCAAGTGCGTGCGTAAGAGGGAGAGGGAGACGGAGAAAGAGAAGCTAGCTCAAGGATGTGAAAAAGCAGCGGCAACAAACCCAACGGGAATTCAACTAAATATAAATTTCTTTAAAATGTCCAATCATTGTCTCTCCCTCTCTCTCTCTCTCTCTCTCTCTTCGGCGTTGAATGCTGCACACGTGCGAACAGCGCAGAGTTGCGCGTGGATGAGGGAGGGGGGCAATGACAGCTGAACCTTTTGCTAATTTCTTATGTTTGTCGCGTTAAATCATTTTTGACGTTATTCATTTACATGCGTAGCCAAATGCGCTCTCTCTCCCTCGCATACACACACACACACACACACACACACGACGCACGCACGCACGCAGGCAGTGAAACTGGGCGTCGAGGAATTTTTGGCTGGTAAACCGAAAATGAAATATGCCACATTGACGTCCATGCAAAATGCTCAACGCAAATGCACTCAAAAATGAGTTCAAAACCTAAATAACGGCAACTGCTTGTATTTTTCTTGATATTTCATTTAAAATGTACACAACATTTAACAACTACTCATACAGCACACTAACCAAAAGATTGGCAAAAAACGGACACGGAACACAACAGAACGGAACAGCAACGTAAGCGCAAGCGTAAACGTAACGCAACGAAATCAGCGAGCAGACTGAACTAGCCGCTGTGCAGCGACCGAGCGAGTAGGCAAAAAAGAGCACAGCAAAATGAAAATTATAACGGGCTGACGCTCGCTCGGCCAACGGTCGGCAGCGGCAGCGACGTCGACGACGACGACGACAGCGACGTCGTCATGGCTGACTGATAAAAGTCGTACGGATTTGTTATTAGCTCATTGTTTTTGCTGTTGCTTACGAGATTAAAACACTTTTGACAGCAACGTTATCAGTAGCCGCAGCAGCAGCGGCAGCGGCAGCAACAACAATGACCGCAGCAGAATCAGCGGCAGTTTGTTTACCTCGCAGCGACGTGTATGCGGCGGCATTCGCAGCGAACGTTTCCGTCAAAATTTATACGCATATTCCATGTACTCCACATTATATATATATTACATATTATATACACGGACATCAAGATAAAGCGCTCATTGCAGTATTTTATACCAACATACAAGTCGGCGACAACCTGAAACGTTCATGGACAAAGAGTGAAGAGAGAAGAGAGAGAGGCAACGTGCGCGAGGGGGGGCAACATGATGAGCTGCCTGAAAGCGGATGGCAGCGGTTTCGACATGATTTTTAGCTGTGTAGCTGCTGCTAAGCTAATTTCGTTGCGTTAAAAACAAAAGTCGCGCACACTAATAAAGCAACGCACAGCACAAAACAACAACAACGGCGACGCGTCGTGTAAAATTCATTTTCATTTTCTAATTGCTGGTGAAAACTTGCAGAAGCAGCTGAGCGCGATAGGCCAGATATCGATTGGCAGTCGAACTCGATATCGATTGGCGCGCCTAAGTATGTATGTGTGACCAGGTATCGATTGTGAATCGAACTCGATATCGATTGGCGCGCCTACGCGTGTGTGTGTGTGCTTATATGAGAACATAACACTTTTGTTTGATAAAGTTTTGCCATTTATTGGCAAAGTTCGGACCACTTGCGAGACAAATTGCCTTTTAGCGCAGCATAACGTCATCGGATAGCCATGACTCAGTGTCCCGGTCATACTTTATTTACTGTTCACACACACAGGCACACGCACACACACATTGCTGGCTTACATGCAAACACGAGCACAAAAACAATAACGCAGTCGATGATGTGATGCTGGGCCGCAACTTTGAGCAATTAACAATTAGCGACAATCATAATTCCAAGACATGTATATAAATATAGTATTTATTATCTCTAAGTCATAGCAACTAATTTGGTATTAATTTTGTAGCAGACATCAGGTCACTCTCTACAATATATAGTTAGCCTTTTGCTAAGGATACGCGATGTATATATGTACGTATGCATAATAATATATGTACATGCATACATGCGCAAGCTAATTGATTTGATTAAGCTTAAAATGAATGAGAAGAAGAAAAAAACAATATTAATAACAATTCACGCGCCGCCTACACACAAACACACACAAAACAGCGACCGCATTGACTTCACGCTCAGCTCTAAAGTTAACACAAATGACTTTATAGTGTGCGTGCGGGTATGTGTACGTGTCAGGCTGGATGACGTGATTGCCTCTCAGAGCCCGCATATGATTAAAACGGAAAACAAGATAAAACTCGTTGGAGCAAAGGAGCAGCGCGTATTCTGCTTGTTGTTGATGATACGAGGCGTTCGCCGAAGCAGGCAATGTTGGGGGCGGCAAAGGCAGCAAAATACGCATGACACTCCTTGCCGCTGCCGCACACACACACACACACACACACGCATACAAGCAAAAGCACGCGACACACAGACACGAGGTCACTCACACACACACACACACACATACACATAGTACGAGCAGCCGCGCGTCCCCTGGCTGTCTTCACTCAATAGCAATTATTAGTTGATTTTTCCCAGCGACATCGGGCACAAATATTAATTTGTGCGCCCAGAGGAGTCAATATACTCAACAATTTCAAGTCACGAGATGGAAACACAGACACACAGACACACACACACACACACACACACACACACATACTTGTATATCTAAATCGCATGTGTATGCGAGAAATGGCAAACGATGAGTATATTGAGCGCAAATATAGTAACGGGATTTTTGCTAGCTGCTCCCTCTTTTCTCCCATTTCTTTTTTGTTTCTTCTTCTTTTTAGCCGCGATGACGACAGCGTGCGCGACGGTAGCAAAAGCAGCAGCGGCGGCGCCTTCGCCTTGCGCTTTTCAATAACATTTACATTTACACTTTGTACTATTTATGTAATAGTTTTTTTTTTTCAAATGCTGGCGAATTTCATGTAGCCAATTGCAAACCGCTGCATTGCACCTGGCACGTATTTTCACCAAATTATGTATAATTCACTTTTTCGTTGGTTGTTTTTTTTTTTTTTTTTTGCAGCTGGGTTTTCATTCTTTTTTGTTTTACTACCAGCACTCTACACACACACACATGCAAACGAGGCACGCACAAAAAACACACGCACACACAACACACTACGCGACACACTCAATGACGAAATTCTTCGGAGAGCGTTGACAACTCTAGGTTCTAGCTCAGGCTCCTCCGCTTTCAAGTATATGTGTCTGTGTGTGCGTGCCTGCGTTTGCATGTGTGTGTGCGAGAATTCTGCTGCTGCTGCTGCTGCCTTTCGTCATAATTTTTGCGTTGGCATAGAATTTTAACTTTGCACGTGCTCACCGCACATTACTGTACACAAATTTGATTATTATTGCAATCGCACTTGTTTTAGCTGCATTATTATGAACTCTTTTGGAATTTACCTAGCACACAAAACACAAAAATTCGATTTTTTCCTCGCTGATATTTTCACGCGAATGACCTTACATCACACGCATACAATACACACACACACACGCGCAATTGAAATTGTGGGCATTTATTGCCTGTCCAAGTTTGGTCGCACATTTTGCCCTTTTAAAAATACCAAAAAAAAGTAAGTAGCTCTGGGAAACTATTGTTAACCAACACTGGTTCAGTTCATCGATAACTAGACCGTTTCCGACTGTTATTCAGGCGAGTTCATAGAAAGATTGACCGTTATCAATTCAATTTCAACTGTTCTTCAATTTTTTAGAATGTAGTTTTGCAAATTTACAGCATAAGCTCTAATATCATGTATAAGGGTCGTATCAAGTCAATATATCAATATATGAACCATAACTTTTTCGTTAGCTTAAGAAGAGATTAAATTAATCGAACGTTTTTCAAGATCGATATATCGAGACCACTATCGGTGTGGATAGCATGCGATAGTTAGGGGTGTGGTGCGATAACTTCATTTAGTTTCTAATTGCACGTCACTAACATAAGTCATCGCGTTGCGGGTTCGTGTGTGAGTGCGCTGTTGGTTTTGTGTTTCATTTATTTAAGTTAAAAGTTATATTTTTGTGTTGCTTCTGTTATTACAAATAATGCGCTCGATTTGCTGCACAGCGTGAGCACACAACTTGCATTATACAGGTGAGTGAAGCTCTGATATTACAATGCCTGACGATGGCGACCCGCCCAAAATGTTTGCCTCAAATACCTGCGCTACTGCTTGCGTTGTTATTATGCTGCTGCTGCTGCTGCTTCTGCTGTTGTTGTTGTTGGTGCTGCTCGCACATGGGCGTTGACCAAAAACCGAAAACCCAAAGCGCCAGCTCTGCAGTATTCGACTAGTTCATTTTATGCAGCACATCATAAGCATCTAAAACTAATAAAATGCGCACTTCTGTGTTAAAATGGCCGCAGGCTTCTTTCTGCGAAAAAAAGGAACGCAACGTCTGCCGCCAGCCACCTGCTGCCCAATTGGAAATTTGAGGCGCACTCAAATTTCAGAGCCCCTGTTTTTTTGGTTTTTGCATATTGGTGTGTGCCCAGCTCCTGCAAGCATTTCAATTGCACTTTTGCCCTGCCTTTAGGCATGGTTTTACACTAATTAATGCCACTTTACATGTGTGGCCACATGTGCATGTGTGTGTGTGTGTGCAGCAGCAGCAAAAGGGTGGATTACACTGTCCGTTGCTCTTGCAGCAGCGTTGAGCTGAATTATTATTGTCGAGTTAGGTTCTTTTTTTTCTCTCGTTGTGTTTGTTTTTCACATCGGCCAGCGACTTCTGCTGCTTCACTGCGCAGACAACACACACACACACATGCATGCATACACAAACAGACAGGTAACCGACACTATCTTCTGTGTTGCGTGTTCTGTTATTTAGTTCGTTACCGGCAACTGCCTTTCAAATGTTCTCCCTCTCTTTTTTTGGTCTCTGTCAGGCTTTTGGCCGAGGGTCAAGTGCGCCTTGTCTGCTGCTTACCTAATTGTCCTTGCTTCTCACCTTTTCTCGCCTGTTTTTTTATGGTTGCCTAAAATTGTCTTCTCATTTTTTACCTAGGGCATTGTCCTTTTTTTTTTCGGGGCGGGGGTATTTTATGATCGTGATAAGCTGCTTTTCTTCTTATTATGCGCGTCACTTCGTCACTGTCAAAAATTGAGTGCTGTTAAATTTGCAGCTTTCGGCGGCCGCCATTTTTCTAGTTTCATAGAACTTTTTGCTGTGAGCTGCAGGCATTATGAATAAATCTAACGGAACTGGCAACACTGCTGCGCCTATGTTTTAGTATTAATGAACAAGATGGCAACTCTCTCCCCGCGAATTGCACAATTTCCTTTTAAAATTTTGTGATCACACTTGCTAGTTTAGTTTTTAGGCTTCCTTTCATTAGGGTGCTTTATCGGCTTGTTTGTTTGATTTCTGAAACTTATTCTTGGGGATTTATGCCAACAAGCACGCATACTTAAGTGGGCCAGTCTGCACTATGTCTCAGAATGTGTCGTAAATTATAGAGGCTTCGGTTTTTTTTTTAGGCGTTGGCCAACTGTCGCCTTAAAACGCTTTGGCACATATCCCATATCAAAGACTAATTGCGCGCCCACTTGAATGACATTTAACTTAAAATTTGACATAATTTTAATGCCGCATGTTGTGTGGTAGTGTGTGAGTCTAGTCAGCCGCCCAAATCCATGCCGGCTGTAAATTTAGCGCGTAGCTACATAGCTCCTGCTAGTGGGGCTGCTAAAAATATCCATGCAGCGCCCTCAATTTATACCCTTGCTAGAGGGTATTCGCAGTGCATTAGGGCTCTAGAGTTGGGCACGTGTCGTGTTTGCTTTTGTGAAAAGACGAATTGAGCTCGTTTTGTGTTTCCAGAACTTGACCAAAAGAAGCTAGCAAACAATTATAAGTTTCATACGAAAATAATGTTTTAAATATTTACCAACCTCCATGTCGTGCAACCATGCGAAAATGCGAAATGCTCCCTTCTCTAAGCTATAAAGATAAACTGTAAACTTACAGCTGTTTAACAGGACCTGCAAATGTTTGTAACAGCGTGTCAGAAATGTTAAAAAATATTGGATTTAACATGATTAAATGATAATTAGTTTAACAGCACGTAGAAATGTTAGTAACAGCGCGTGACAAATGTTAACAAATATTGGATTTAACATGATTATGTTTGTATGTTACTCCCTGTTATTCTGTTTTTTTTTCCTTATGTGTCTTACGTTTGCTGGGCTATTGTAGAGTATTGTCGTGTCGGTGTTGACTGCCTTGGCCTGCGTTGTCTTGCCATGTTAGTGGTTGCTGTTTTGGTTGCCTGCACAGCACGCGGAAAGCATTCGAGCAGATTAAACAAGAGCCTGTAGTAGAACACGCACGGCGAACAACAGAAAGCAGTCGCAGCTATTTATACATAGTGTATATATACAGTCGGGATAGTTGTTAATTGATGCACTCACTTTACGCACTGATTGATTGGGTTCAACTTGTTTTTTTTGTTCTCCCTTGCAGCGCAGCATTCACAATCTGAGGATGCAACGCTTGTGGCACATGCTGCACGCGTTGCTCTTGCTGCATTTGGTGGCGGCACAAAACGATGGCAGCTTTTACAACGTGCAACCACAGCAACAACTGCAGCCCCAACAGCCGCTGCAGCAGCCACAGCCCACATCGGCATACGACAACAATCCGCTGTACGGAACGAATCTCAATCCCAACTTGAATCCAAATCTCAACAATCCGAATCCAAATCCAAGTCCGAGCTATGGCTACAACGAGCTGGGCGGCGCTCAGGATGATTATAACAAGCGTCTGGGCAGCAGCTTTGGCGACGATGAGCCCAGTTTGCAGCTGGGCAAAACCTCGTACAATGTTAAGGCCAGCTTTCTGGAGACGCTGCACAATCGGGAGCCGACCTATTTTATTGTCGCCTCACGCATGGTGCGGCCCGGCCTCATCTATCAGGTATCCGTATCCATACTGCAGGCCAAATATCCGATCACGGTGCACGCGAGCATCTCGTGCGATGGCGTTCAGATCAGCGGCGACTCCAAGGACGTCAAGGAGGGCGTGCCGGAGACTTTGCTCATGCGCATACCGCCGACCAGTGTTACCGGGGATTACAAACTGCGCGTGGAGGGCTTCTATCAGGATGTCTTTGGCGGCATCGCGTTTCTCAATGAGACCCGGCTGGACTTTTCGCAGCGCTCGATGACCATCTTTGTGCAGACCGACAAGCCGCTCTATATGCAGAGCGAGACGGTCCGCTTCCGCACCATTCCCATCACCACCGAACTGAAGGGTTTCGATAATGCCATCGATGTCTATATGCTGGATCCCAATAAACACATTCTCAAGCGTTGGCTGTCCCGGTAAGTTGGAGTTGCAGCAGATTAAAGCCTGTATCCATTTCAAATAGTTTTAAGAACATCGATTAATTAGATGTTATCGATAATTATCGATTGCCTCTACTTTTGTGAGTAGCTCAACAAACTGTTAAAACTGGCAACTTACATTTTTGGCACGCAGCTTCTCGTATAACACACACAGCTGACAGCCATATCGATAAATGTTCACAAATCGATAAATATCGATATCGATAGCCCCCGCGCGTAGATATGACCTGAGATTATAAGAGCTAGAAATACATCTGTCAATTATTGACATCCAATCCTGTTTTCAAAAATCGATAAATATCGATAACTATCTCTTACATTTCAAGGAAGATGTTATTGAATCGAATGTATGTTGGATATTCCATATCACAGCCTTCCAAATCGATAAATATTGAAAAAAGATCTATATCGAGATAACTGAGACTATCGATAAATATCGATAACTATATGTTAATTTTCAAGCGAGGTGTTAGGGTCATCAAAAATAGATTTGAGGACAGGTTCTCGTATAAGTATACTCAGCCACTCTTCTACTTCTGGGTATAAGGTATCTTGGAGTCGAACCTCTTTTCCTGTTTCATGCTTAGCTAACGACTTCACTAACAACTTTACTCCATAGGCAATCGAATCTGGGTTCCGTCTCGCTGGAATACAAGCTGTCGGATCAGCCAACGTTTGGAGAATGGACGATACGCGTGATTGCCCAGGGTCAGCAGGAGGAGAGCCACTTCAGCGTCGAGGAATACTATCAGACGCGCTTCGAAGTCAACGTCACGATGCCGGCGTACTTCTTCACCACCGATCCGTATATCTACGGCCGGGTGATGGCGAACTTTACGAGCGGCCTGCCCGTGCGCGGCAATCTGACGCTGAAGGCGACAATCCGGCCCATTGGCTACTTCAGCAATCAGGTGTTGAACGAGAAGTTCCGTTTGGGTCGTTCGCCGCTGGAGCAAATGAATTTGTATAACGAACGCTGGCGCTACAATAATCCCAGCCAGAATCCGCAGCAGCAATACAATGGACCGCCGCAGCTGCCACAGGACGGCGGCGATCTCTCGCAGGATCTGCTCTATCGCAATCAGTATGTGGTCGAGCGCAACTATCAGTTCGAGGAGGAGTGGCCCTTCTGGGTGCGCAAGCCCGAAGTGCTGGACAGCTATGATTCCTGGACGAGCAGCTATCGCAACACGTTGCCCTATTTGCGCTACTTCAACGGCACCTTCGACTTTAAGTGGCCGCTGCGCGAGCTGGAGCTGCTCGTGCCCAACATGGCCAACATGGAGGTGCTCATTACGGCCACAGTCGGCGAGAAGTTCTACGATGAGATCATCAGCGGCTATGCCGTGGCCCGTGTCTACAATTCCAGTTTGCGTGTGGCCTTTCTGGGCGAATCGCCGCAGGTCTTCAAGCCCGCGATGCCCTTTACCACGTACCTGGTCGTGGAATATCACGACGGTTCACCCATCAATCCGAATCTACTGCGCCAGGGCCTCATGGAGGTCAGCGGCTTTGTGGAGAGCCGCAATGGCGGCCGCCGCGATTGGCCCGCCCAGCGGCTGCACATGTCCCAGCAGAGCGACGGCGTCTGGGAGCTCAAAATCGATATACGCAACGATCTGCAGCTGGACGAGCGTCCGCAGTCCCGCGAATTTCTCAACGGCATACAGAATATGCGTTTGCAGGCTGTGTTTGCGGATCCGCGCGGTGAACGCGTTCAAACCGAGCTGCTGCTCGTCTCGCACTATTCGCCGCGCAATCAGCACATCAAGATCACGACCAGCACGGAGCAGCCGGTGGTCGGCGAGTACATCATCTTTCACATACGCACCAACTTCTATCTGGAGGAGTTCAACTATCTGATCATGTCCAAGGGCGTCATATTGATCAATGACCGCGAGACCATCATCGAGGGCATACGCACCATTGCCGTGGTCCTGAGCGCCGAGATGGCGCCCGTGGCCACCTTGGTCGTGTGGAAGATCACCCAACAGGGTCAAGTGGTGGCCGATTCTCTCACGTTCCCCGTCAATGGCATATCACGTAACAATTTCACGGTGTACATCAATAATCGCAAGGCGCGCACTGGCGAAAAGGTCGAGGTGGCCATCTTCGGTGAGCCCGGCTCCTATGTGGGCCTCTCCGGTATCGACAGCGCCTTCTACACCATGCAGGCGGGCAACGAGCTGACCTACGCCAAGATCATTACCAAAATGTCCAATTTCGATGAGCAAACGAACGGCACGTACAAACACATTTGGTACTCGCATGAGGGCAATCCCGACGAGCTGGTCTACTTTCCCGCCTCGTCCTTCGGCATCGATGCCAATCGCACGTTCGAATACAGCGGCCTGATTGTGTTCACGGACGGCTTTGTGCCGCGTCGCCAGGACAACTGCAATCGCACGCTCGGCTATGGCGAATGCCTGAGCGGACGCTGCTATCGGGTGGAGAAGCGCTGCGATGGACTCTTCGACTGCGAGGATGGCACGGATGAGATCGGCTGTCATGTGCGCAACGATACGGAACTCTTGAATTATCGCAAATATCGCTTCAATCGCGTGCTGCGGCATTACGAGAACGTTTGGCTGTGGAAGGATGTGAATATCGGACCGCACGGTCGTTATATATTCAATGTCGATGTGCCGGATCGTCCCGCCTATTGGATGGTCAGCGCGTTCAGTGTCAGCCCCTCCAAGGGCTTCGGCATGCTCAATCGCGCCTTGGAGTACGTCGGCGTCCAGCCGTTCTTTATCAATGTGGAAATGCCGTCCGTTTGCCGACAGGGCGAGCAGGTGGGCATCCGTGTCACCGTGTTCAACTACATGACGACGCCCATTGAGGCGATAGTCGTGCTGCACGGCAGTCCCAACTATAAGTTCGTGCATGTGGAAGAGGACGGCATTGTGCGCAGTTACAATCCGCGCACCAGCTTCGGTGAGCATCAGTTCTTCATCTATCTGGACGCGCAGGGCACCACGGTGGTCTATGTGCCGGTGGTGCCGCAGCGTCTGGGCGAGATCGAGGTGACGCTGCACGTGGCCACGCTGCTGGGCACGGACACCGTCACCCGCACCCTCCATGTCGAGTCGGACGGCCTGCCGCAGTACAGGCATCAGTCGGTGCTGCTGGATTTATCCAATCGCGCCTATGTGCTGGAGTATATGCATGTCAATATCACACAGACACCGGAGATACCCTACCAGGTGGATCGTTATTTTGTGTACGGCTCGAATCGGGCACGCATCTCCGTCGTGGGCGATGTGGTCGGTCCGATATTCCCGACAATGCCCGTCAACGCGAGCTCGCTGTTGTATCTGCCCATGGAGTCGGCGGAGCAGAACGCCTTCAGCTTTGCCGCCAATCTGTATACGATCATGTACATGCGTCTGATCAATCAGCGCAATAAGACGCTGGAGAAGAACGCCTTCTACCACATGAACATTGGCTATCAGCGACAGTTGAGCTTTATGCGCGCCGACGGCAGCTTCTCGCTCTTCCGCTCCGACTGGAACAATTCGGCGTCCTCGGTCTGGCTGACCAGCTACTGTCTGCGCATCTTCCAGGAGGCCTCGTTCTACGAGTGGGAGAACTTCATTTGGATCGACGCCACCATCATTGAGAAGAACATGCGCTGGCTGCTGCAGCATCAGACACCTGAGGGCGCCTTCTACGAGGTCACATGGCTGCCGGATCGTAAAATCAATCGCACCAATTTCGCCAGCTACACGAGCTTACGCAATCGCAATATAACACTGACCTCGCATGTGCTCATCACGCTGGCCACGGTCAAGGATCTGTCCGGCACGCTGGGCTCGCGTGTGGCGCTGGCGACGCAACGTGCCGTCGCCTGGATCGAGCGCAATATGCAGTTCCTGAAGGATACGCCGGAACCGTATGACGTGGCCATCACGGCATATGCCCTCCAGCTCTGCAATTCGCCCATTGCGGAGCATGTCTTTAGCATATTGCGCAAGCATGCACGCACCATTGGCGACTTTATGTATTGGGGCAATCAGGAGCTGCCGCAACCGCCGCGCAAACTGGAGAACCAGAAATGGTTCTCCCTGCCCCGACTGCCCTACGAATACGATTCGCTGAACATCGAGACGACCGCCTATGCTCTGTTGGTTTATGTGGCGCGTCGCGAATTCTTTGTGGATCCCATTGTGCGTTGGCTAAACGCACAGCGTCTGAATGATGGCGGGTGGGCGTCCACGCAGGATACGAGCGCCGCATTGCGTGCTCTGGTCGAGTATACGGTGCGTTCGCGCATTCGTGAGGTCTCCTCGCTGAGCGTCGAGATTGAGGCATCCTCGCAGGGCGGCAAGACACAGGAGCTGCACATCGATGACACCAACTTGGCCAGGCTGCAGAGCATCGAGGTGAGCTGTACAAAAGCTAGTATGGGAATATTTACCATATTCATTTTTAATTATCTTTTTCACAGATACCTGATGCTTGGGGCACCATCAAGGTGCAGGCGAAGGGCGCCGGCTATGCCATACTCCAAATGCACGTGCAGTACAATGTCGATATTGAAAAGTTCCAAACGAAGCCGCCGGTGCCAGCGTTCGGATTGCACACAAAGGCCATATTCCATGGCAGGAATCAGTCGCATATCTCCTACGTGGCATGCCAAAAGTAAGTGCTTTCCCGCCCCATTCGATAGCTGCTCCATACTAATCGCTCCCTTTTCCCCCTTGCAGCTGGGTGAACTTGCAGGAATCGGAGCGTTCGGGCATGGCTGTGCTGGATGTGGCCATACCCACGGGCTACTGGATACAGCAGCAAAAACTGGACACCTATGTGCTGAGCAACCGGGTGCGCAATTTGCGACGTGCACGCTACCTGGAACGCAAGATTGTCTTCTACTTTGATTATGTAAGTGCAAAAGTGGAAGTCTTAGCTAAATGCTGTAAATACTCACAAATGTTTTGTCTGCTCGCGTACAGCTGGATCAGGAGGACATTTGCGTCAACTTCACCATAGAGCGCTGGTATCCAGTGGCCAACATGTCACGGTATCTGCCCGTGCGCATCTACGACTACTATGCGCCCGGTAATTAACAATCCTCATCCTCATTCTAAACGGCATTTTCTAATCGCTTTTCCTGTTTCTTCTCCAACAGAGCGCTTCAACGAGTCCATTTTCGATGCACTGCCCACATATCTGCTGAACATATGCGAGGTGTGCGGCAGCTCGCAGTGTCCATACTGTTCCATCTATAACATGGGCTGGCGTGCATCCATGTCCTTCTCCCTGTTGTTCTTTAGCGTATTTATTTATTTGATGCGCAGTCGCTTATTAGCCTATTAGTTTCTGTTTTCTTTTGTTTATTATTTTAACATTCCGTCCAGAGGTTTTCTTTTTTATTTTGTGTTCAATGACTAAATTTATATTATTATTATTATTTTGTAAACGGCGTTTAATCGTAATCTCAAAATATGTACAAAAAAAAGAGCAAAAAAAATTCGCATCCAATTGGACTAATTAGTTTTGAAGTACGCAAACCATTAACATTATATATATATACATACATGTAGCAATTTAGTCTTTAGCGTTCAGTTATACATTATAATATATATAATATGTATTTTCCCCCTCGGAGACCAGGAACAGAGCCTTGAACCTGTTTGCCTTAATTTCAACTGGGCGCTAAAAGTGCCGCCTTATACGAGAAATGTAACAAGAATATGTGTCTTTTTAAATATCACAAATTGCCTTTATTAGATTTTAGAAATCGATAGTGAATATCTATATATACATATATATATGAGCTTTTCTTTTTGGATACTGCATGCATATCAATTTTGGAAATTTTTTAATAAAACATAATGATTATGATTAGCGTTGAAAGCGACCGTCCAATACGATATAAGTTTTAAATGATGCAACAAACACAAAAACGAAATAATTAATAAGCAAATGAAACCAATCAATACCAAATTTAAGCAAGTTTTATACGTATTTGTATTTTTTGACAAGAACTGTTTAAATATTGATTTTTGTATATTTAAATACAAACTACAAAGAATAGCCATGTACCAACTAGCTAACGAATCTTAAAATCAAGTATTCCGTCCCTACTTTATGGTAAGAGAATGAAATGAATCTAAAAAGTGAAATAAATGTAATTTACGTTTTCTATCTAACGGAAAAAAACTCAAATAAATGAAATTAACGAAATATTTGAACTATGAATTTCAACATGGCGAAAAAAAACGTGTGGTCACACTGGTGTGGGGTGTTGGCAAACGAAATGAAAGCAATTTGTTTTGTTTTTTTTTACAAAAAGTGGGCATAAATATTTATAAATTATTTTGTTGACTTGTTCGATAAATGCTATTTAAACTTAGAAATATTATAGGGTACCTTAATTATATCAAACAACAATAAAGTCTACGTTTTGCGAAAACTAAGCAAGATTGGCGATATGGCCTCCAGGCAATCCATGATATCCTTGCGTGATTTGGCGCCGGTAAACACAATTTTGCCATTGACAAAGATGAGCAGGACAATGCGTGGCTTGACCATGCGATAGATGAGACCGGGAAACATTTCCGGCTCATACGAGCTAAACTGGCCGTGCACCTGATTCAGATTCTCCAAGCGTATGGGAAAACGCAAATCGACAGTGGCCACAATATTCTGCAGCTTGTAATCGACAAATTTGACCGGAAAGCCCAATTTCTGCAGGATGCGCGCAAACTTGCGGGAGCCAATGTTCGCCTCCATTTCGTTGCGGGCGCCCGTACAGATCACCTTGCCGGTGCGAAAGATGAGCGCCGTGCAGCGGGGGGAATGCATGCGCATGATGACGCCGCGAAAGCGTTTGGGCGTATATTCCGAGTTGCGGGTGCGTGAATTGATGGTCTTCAAGTCGAGTTCACAGTCCACCGAAAAGGTAGCCACAATGTTTCTACAAATGAACAGTTAGGGCAGGCCAAAAAGTAAAGCTGGCTTAGCGAGAGCTTACTGTAATTTAATTTCGTGTTGGGCATCTTTGGGCTCGGTCAGCACGGCAGGCTGTTGCGGCTGCAGTGTACTATGGGGATTGTTGGTATTTTGGACGGCTGGTGCATTGGGATCCGGCTCGGCAATTTTGAAATGGAATTGCATTTTCTTTTAATTCAATTTAATAAACTTAATTGCTGCTGCAGCAGTTCTTCGAGTTAAACAAAAACACGCGTAGCATAAAACAGTGTTCACATATCAATAAAAAATGGCAAAACAAATATCAACGAGATTGTACGTTATTATTTTACAATAACAAAGTATGCGTCGCCTATTTATTTTCGTAGGCAATAGAATATTTATACTATTTGTACGCGTTATGATTTTTATCTAATGTACTTACATAAATTTAATATTTAATTTTTGTGGAAATTTGCAAATCAGTTTACCAACACTAACAGCTGTGCACGAAAGGTGTGTCACATACAACTCTCCAAAAATTATACGTCTTCCATTTTCGTTACATACGTAAACAAAGAATACGCCACAACAAAGGTACCGCTAAATCAAGCACCAAAGCAAGCGCACCGTTGACAGTCGCAAAGCAATCGAACTTGAAGAAGAAGACGCAAGAAGCAAAAAAAAAAGGGACGTCAGAGTTAAAAAAATGTCGGCGCACAGCGGAGGTACGGATTGGAACTCGGTTGTAAAACCACTTTTATCAAATCGTACAAGCGCTTTAAACAAAAACGAAATATCAAATTTACTAAAAGCGATTACCAAATGGTGAGTGCATATGAAATTCATAATTTAAATTTACATTTTATGGCGAAATGGCGCAGTTGAAAATTTGCCTGCAAGGTGACTTGCAAAATTAAATATGGCGACCCGCTGTGACGAAACTTTTTAAGTTTGCCAATAAAATTTCTGATTTCCAATTTGAATTTTTGCAGTGAACATGAATTTTTCGATGATGAAAGCAATTACACGCAATTTTACACAGCATTTGCGGCTCTGGCGGCCGATAAGCTCATGCAAATCAAATCAAGTAAGTATCGACACCTCCTCGCCCCCTTCGTAATGATTTTTCCCCTCCCCCTCCCTCCTCCCTCTCTCCCAGAACTTAACACAAGGAAATTTTCTAGAGAAATGCAATTTTAACGCATGACTCATGCGGTCAGCTTTTGTTTTAAGGTGCACCCATTAAAAATGGGTTGAGTCCTATTGGTTATGTGAAAAAGTATATATATATAAAACAAAATTTTCTTATTTTAATATATATATATATCATATATGACGGCAGCTCGCAGCTGAGTACAGGATATCTGCTAGCGGGCATTCCCGACTCTGTTGTTATTGTATACCTACTTATGCATCTTCTTTGTATATTTTCGTTTTCTTAGTATGCCAGACACAAATATCACAATTGCACGATGCCAGCGCGGTGCTCATCCGTTTCATACTCTTCAGATTGCCGAAGGTTTCGGTATATGAGATCAAATGGCTGCTGGTCGCATTGAAAATGCTGTGCGAGGGTCGCGAGAGCGTCGCCCCGGGTTCGGGTTCCACACAATTCGACTATAATGCTGTGGCAGCGATCCTGAAGAGCGCCAAGCATCCGGAATCCAACAGCAAGAGCATCGGCAGCAGCAGCAGCGTCGCCAGCAGCAGCACCGGCACCGAAAAGGAGTCGCCCAAATCGGAGATTAAACGTTCGCGTTCCGATCTCTCAACGGTTATATTGCAACAGTTGCTGGCGCCTCTGGAGCCCGGCAAAATGACCTGGGTGCCATTGAGTGAAGAGGTCAGCGATTGCACCGTAAGTAATTCATAATATTTATCTTGCAAAGGGGTTCTCTGAATCCATTTAGTACACATATTTTTGAGCAGGAGAAGGAGTTGACTCGCCAAACTCACTTTTCATTCACAACACAAACTTCTCTATCGCAGGAACAACTGCTGGCAGCCAATGTCGAGTACTTTCAGGAACAGAACGGCGTGGACACATTGCTCGACGTGGGCGTGGGCTTGCCCATACTCAATCGCTATCGCTCCAAGTACCAGGAGACAATTGTGGGCGGCAAGCCGCTGTATTTGCCTTTGACCCAAGTGGAAGCCAGCACCGTTAAGTCGGCCATGGCGCATATGCTAACCGATCTGTCGATACTGGGACAGGCGCATTCGTTGATTGCGCTGCAGCCGCTGACACCGAGTCGCATCGAGAAGCTGTCGATGTGCGGCATTGCGGCGCTGTACAATGCTGTGCTGACCTCCATAGCGGCTAGTGTGCTGAGCATGTGCCAGGCCAGCAGCGGATCGCAGAAGCAGCAGCCAGCAGCTGCCTCGACCAGCCAGGGCAGCGGCGGCAACAGCAATCCTTCGACTGGCGGCGGCAAGGATCACGATGATTTCGAGGAGCAGGCCTGCACCATAGTGAACAAGGCGCTGGAGATCTATACAAGCATCGGCGAGATGTTTAGGGCCTCGGCACGCATGCATGTCTATCAGAATCATTTGTGCTACGGCTCCTGGCTGCTCATCAGTGGCATTCAAGGTGCCATGGGCGCATCTGGCAGCAGCAGCAGCACGGCGGCACAGGGAAAAACGGCTGCGGCCAGTGCAACCGAAGCCGCAACTGCCACGCCCAGCACGCCTATAGCGCGTGTTAATCTGTTCAAGGTGCAGCAAGGATTCGGCGAGCTAAATGCGGCCATTGCTAACCACAGCATTAAGCTGCTCTCCGAGCTGATAGATGATCTGAAAATTGAATCTGCCTGCGGCACCGCGTCGACCCAGAGCGCCAGCGGGGACGTGGAGCCGGCACAATTTGATATACTGCAAAATTACACGGCACTGCAGCGTATTGTGCGCGTTCTGAACACGGCCACGTTGCATCAGCTGTTCACGTTCCTGGCAACTGTGGCCTATCGCAAGGCGTGCACCTTGAAACGCGCCAATACCAAAGATCGCACCGAATGCGAACCGATCAGCTACTCCGATTCGACGACCTATTTCAATGATTCGCTTTCCTGCTCGGACAATTCAGAGGAGGATGATAGCGAGAGCTATTTGGGGCATTGGTTCAAGGAGACGTTGTCGCCGGAAACGCACGATGACAATGCCAATGCGTGTGCCCAGGAGCGCAGCGGCGAACAAAAATCTGCGCTGGTACCCAAGCTGGACGAACCGCACGAATATCTGGATTTGGCTGCGGATATATTCTGTTTCCTGGATCAGTTCTTGGCCAATCGTCATGCGTACATGCAACGCTATGTGAAGGCGGGCGTCAGTGATCAGCAAATGCTGCTCATGGCCAACATTATAAAAGACTTTGACCGTGATGTAATGCGTCAGGAAGCGGGTGGCAACAGCACCGGCGGAGGCGGGGGCTCTGGTGAGGGCAACTGCTCCAATTGGCAATCGGCCATGATACGCTTCTCGGGCGCCGCAGGACGTTATATACACAACTTGATCTCGACGTCGTTGCTCTCGGAGCAGCTGCAATCAAATCTGTTGCAGCACCTGTCGATCTCACCCTGGTCCACAGACACCAACAGCTGGCCACTGCAGGTCTATCCGAGCACGTTGTCGGTGCTGGTGCAGATTCTGTTGCTGAAGCCAACGCACGAGAAGGAGGCAGCCTGCTTGTCCGTCTGGCATCGTCTGATCAATACGCTGGTCGAGGGCGTCTGTTCGGCTGCCAATGCCAGCGACACGGAATTCGAGGATCTAAATATTGAGCATGCACAGCTGCTGCTCTTCCTGTTCCACTCGCTCAATCTGATGCAGAAGAAGTCCATATTGCTGTTGACCGCAGGCGGAGTCATACGCTGTGCCGATGTCTGTCGCGGCATCAGCGGCGAGCGCATCGTGCGCAATAGCCAAATGATGCTGCTCTCCCGACTGCTGCTCTTCCTGGAGTATCTAATGAAGCATCTGTATAATGCGCCGCCCGAACTGCTCGATCAGGTGCGCTGGAATCTGTTCAGCGTGAGCAGCATGCCGGACACCCAAAAGATAACAGATCTACTCAATAGTCGCACCAAGTTGACCTCCTACTGCCGCCACGACATCGAGGAAAAGTTCCGAAACTCCACTGTAGGCGACCTGAGCTCAAGTAAGAAGTACTTTTATAATTATGAGATCTTCCCACTGATAGTTCCTTTTTCAGGTATTCGTCCTACGTTTTACTCGCTGGTCACGGCAGATCCCGCCAAGCCTCACTGGGCTCAGGAGTTCAAGCTGGATGGCTTAGCCTGGAATTTCATATTGTGCACGCCCGACAAGCTCAAGTATCCATTGCTGGTGGATGCACTCATCGATATACTGGCCATTACTGACATGTCCGCCTACACCAAGGACAAGGACAACCTGCACAATCTGTGCGCCATGCAGTATTGCTTTAGCATTGCCTGGAAACTGCTGCTCGGACTGCCGCCGTCCACATCGCATGTGGAATCACTTAAGACCGAACGTGCGCCCAATCTGCATTCGCTGCTTTGGAGCATACGCTGCCCCTTGGTCTATTCACACTACCTGGTGGTTAACAGCCTCATCAAGCAGGGCATGTACACACAGTATGCCGAGTCCTTGTGGGCACAGGTCGGCGATCGCACCGCCGACATACGCTACAGTCTGAAGCAGACCATACTGGGCGTGGAGGCGTTCAATAAGCAACTGAACAAAGGTATACAAAGCAGGAAAATTATGCGAATTCCTATCTTTAATGTTCATATTTATTCCCTGTAGCTACATCAAATCCTCGTCTTTCCGATCTGATTCTCTTGGATGCGCTGGTTGCCCACATGCAGGCCGTGGCCTGGGCCGATAAGGAGGGCTTCAAGGTGCTGCGCAAGGAGAGCGACAGCGACAGCATCACATCAGAGAGTCGCGAGCGTGAGAATTCCAGCGCTGCCACCGACCCCGAGCTCTACTCCTCCAGCGAGTCCATCGATGAGCAGCAATCGAAGCTGACGGAAGATAGCATACTCACACCGGGGGAGCTGCTCGAGCGCACGCAGCTCAGCAATGAGCTGCTGCTCAAGCTGATGGACTCCTACAGTCTCATCTCGAATATTGTGCGCGCCCAGATGCTGAAGCAGCTGTCCAGCAACACGCCGGAGCAGACGCTCAATCTGATAGTGCCCGTGGTGAGCGACAAGCCGGCGATTATGCTGGAGCTGCACGCGGCCTTCCTCAAGCTGTTGCCCAACGAGGACAAGCAGCTGATAGCCAACGAGTGGCCCAAATGTCTGCTGGTCA